AGGTACTTTCTTTTGTCCCTCCAAATATTTGCTGTTAAAAAATACCTATCCCTCACCCTCCCACTTACAAATCTTTGTTCATGTCTTTTTGTCTCAGGATAAATTCTTAGCATTCATTTTAAAGGCTTATATTTTTTTTAGACTTTTAAGATGACTTTTGAAATGGTTCTGCCAATTTACCTCCCCACTAACAGTTCATGTATTCCTCACAACCTTAAAAGGTAGGCACTCATAACCCCATCTTTACAGATGAGGAAACAGGGTGCAGAAAAGTCATATAACCTACCCAAGTTTACTGATGCTGGAGCTGGGTTTGGAACCAATCTCTAGCTGATTCAGTCAGTTCTTTCCCCTAGCCTTGCTACTTCCTGATTTATGATAATTGCACATACACACATACATGTGTGTGCACGCCTGTATGCACAAACGGACATGCACGCACGACCATGTACACACATGCACATACACACACAGGCTCTCTCTTGTCCTGTTTCCCTCTCACTAACCATCCTGGTTTAGGATGTGGAATTCAGCTCTTTGAACACACCTTAATTAGGTGCCTACGAAGCCAGGCCCTGAGCCAAACATTAAGGAGAATTAACAACACGAACCATCATATTTAAAAACTATCATTGCCTGCCTTGACGTATAAAGTCTCAGATCCTTAACGCAGCATTTAAAGCCATCTCCTGCCCCACTCCACACTGCCTGTCTGGTGACTCGCAGTCCTGGCTGCACCTCGGAAGCACTGGCTGACTCTGAGTCCCAGGGGCAGTGCCTCGTGTCTGTTGTGAAGAATTTCCACTAGTGATACTGATCACGCCAGCGTGGAAAACCTCTGTTCTGCCTGAGATTTTCCAAGCTGGTCCCCTTCTTTCATGCCCTTGCCTGAGCTTTTATTCAATCCAGAATTTGCTTTCTCCTTGAAATTGCCGGCCACCGAAGGCCCAGGTTAACTATGTCGCCCTTTAGGAAGGCCAGCCCAGCCACCTCCCTTTTCCTGAGGTCAGGCAGGCGCTACAGTTTATCACTTTTTACCTCCACTACAAGCACTTGAATCAATTACACTTATAAATAACTGCCCAAGGCAATCTCTAGCTACCCTAGTTTAAGATCTGAGAAAGCAAGAGCTGTGTCTTGTTCATCTTTATATCCCCCGAGGTGGACATTGTAGATCTTCTCCTACTCTAAGCATTCAATTAACGTCTGCAAAATTGAAATGCTTTTCAAATCCATTGCTAAAGATCTCCAGTCATACTCAACCTGATCTGCCACTATTCTTTCAGGGCCAGACAGCATTGGTGGTGTATTCTCATTGGCACCCTGAGATTCACTAACCACCCTCTTCATAAATTCCCAGAACCTAGCTAGGATTGCTGCGGTGATTCTCACGTTCACCATGTTATAAGACCACACCAGTTTACCAGGGATAAGCTTTGGGTCTATTCCCGTAGCAGATCATGTATTATTACCTAATACCTGATATTGCCTTACTGAAAAGTATTTTCATCCATGGGAATTCCATTGCCATTAGCTGAGAAATCAAAAAATACATCCACTGCATATAGTGCCTATTATTGACAAAGGCCAATTTAAACTTTAAAATTATCCTGTAACCCACATCTTTAGAAATACTTTACTTGGTTGACATATATTTGGCACCATTGGAAGTAAATATAATGGTACTTGATATACCAATTCTTTCCTTTTTGGAAAAATTTTCTTTGCGTTTTTACAAATCAAGGGTTTAAACTTTAAGCATTATAAAATACACACTTTTACCACATTTCTGTTTTCTAAGAATTACACCAAAAATTCCCATATGAATTTCATGAGGGGTGAAGAAAGGGTGGAGGAGAAAGGGGAAACTGATCTTAATTCCTCCAGAATTTGACTCTTACTTTTGGATCTTGGGAAAACAGGCAATGAAAATGACTTTTCTTTGTTAGCGGTTGGACTGAGCCCCAGTTTTTCATATACATATTTTAGAAACTGAGATAATGTACTCGATAAACTAGTATGCATCATTCATTCACACATGCAGCCTGCACGAAGGAAAGACACGCGTACCCACTGGGGTCCTGCAGCAAGTCTACTGCTTCTCTCAGCTGCTCCATCATAGCGATATCCATGTCCTCATCTTTGGATGAACTTATTCTGTAGCAGGAAACCAAGCATGAGAATAAAAATGATCATGAAAACACGAATATCATCCAGGTTCCTAAGAGCAAACTTACAAAAATCCATCTGACATAGAAAAATGATTTTGACAAACTCAACATTATAATGAAGATGTGCCTGCACCTGCCAGGGTGGGATGCTAGAGTATGGTGGGCAGTGCCCCCGGGTGAGTGAAGCAGCCCACTCAAGATGTCAATGCTCCAATGGGCCCCCAACGGCTCCTGTGCACCATCAGGCTAGGGGCCAGGCGAGTCTCCCAGTGTGTTGTCCTGAGTTCTAGCGGGCTTCACGGGGGGCTCAGCTGGGCAGGCCTGCACTACTTCCAGGCCTTCCAACTCCAGTTCTACCAGTGCGGCTTAGTTTTATTACTTTCATGCAGTTCAGGGCTTCAGTGTGGGACGGTGGTTCTCAGCCCAGGCTCTATATGCAGCAACATCACCTGGGGAGCTTAATAAACACGGCAGGCCCGATACTCCCAAGTTGGTCTTACTAAAGTTGGGGCATTTTATAAAGCTCTACAGATGATCCTGATTTGTAGCCAGGGTTGAGAACAACAAATATAAGATTGCAAATGGAGTTTCCAAAGCTTTATACAGTTTAAAAACAACTATCTCTTTCCCTACGATTCTATAATCAAGCTAGGCCTCCTTGGCTTCCCGGAAGAATATCCAAGGAGTAGCTGGTAACACAGACAGTGAGGGGAGAGGAACTTTCCAAAGCTTTTAAAGGGAAAGAGGGATTAGATCCTGGTAAGCCCTTCCCACTA